ACCCTTCCCCCCCAGCCCCATTTTCCCTGGAATTCTGACTCCCCTCTGGATTTAACCCATCCCAGACTCTCCTGCTGAGACCTTTGGCCACCAGATTCCCACTTTTCCCCTGGAATTCTGACTCCCCTCAGGATTTAACCCCTTCCATTATCCCAGAATCTCCTGCTGAGACCTTTGACCACCAACCCCATTTTCCCTGGAATTCTGAATCCCCTCAGGATTTATCCCCGTCCCTCATCCCACAGTGTCCTGATGAGATTCCCAAGGTCTGAGGGTCCTTTTCCCCTGGAATTCTGAATCCCCTCTGGATTTAACCCCCCCCACAGTGCCCTCATGGGACCCTTCCCCCCCCAGCCCCATTTTCCCTGGAATTCTGAATCCCCTCTGGATTTATCCCCGTCCCTCATCCCAGACTCTCCTGCTGAGACCCTTATCCACCAGATTCCCACTTTTCCCCTGGAATTCTGACTCCCCTCTGGATTTAACCCCTTCCATTATCCCAGACTCTCCTGCTCAGACCTTTGACCGCCACATTCCCAGTTTTCCCCTGGAATTCTGACTCCCCCTGGGATTTCTCCCCCCCCATGCCCAGGCCCCACGGTGCTGGAGGTGTTCAACACCCTCCTGCGGCAGCTGCGCCTCAGCATCGACTACGCCCTCACCGGCACCTACGACGGCGTCGGATCCGCCATCGGATCCGGGATCAGCTCCGGGATCAGCTCCGGGCCCGGGCTGGGCTCCAGGATGATCAAGGAGCAGGAGGAGAGGATGTTCCAGGAGGCTGTCATCAAAACCATCGGTGGGAATCGCGGATCCCGGGGATTTGGGATTGGGTTTTTTGTGGGGGGGGGGAAAAAGCGGGATTTGGGGATGAGGGGGTGGCGGATTATCGGAGGGAGAGGGGTCCGGGATCGGAGGGGTTTGGGGGTGGGTGGGGAAGGGAAGAGAGGGCGGGAAGGAGGGGCTGGATCCAGGGATTCGGCGGTTCCGGAGTGGGAAGGGTTGGAATGAGGGATTGGAATCTCCCAGCTGGAATTGTGGGATGGGAAGGAACATTCCTGCTTTTCCTGGATGGGAAATCCCTGAGGGAAGGAGGGAAAGAGGCTCTGAATCCAGGGATTCAGCAGCTCCAAAACAGGAAGGGTTGGAATGAGGGATTGGCTGGAATTCCCAGCTGGAATTGTCCCTCTGGAGAGGGATTTTGGTGGATCTGGAGGGAGAAGGTTCCTGTGGGTGGGATGGGAAGGGACATTCCTGCTTTTCCTGGATGGGAAATCCCTGAGGGAAGGAAGGGAAAGAGGGCAGGGAAGGGTCGGAATGAGGGATTGGCTGGAATTCCCAGCTGGAATTGTGGGATGGGAAGGAACATTCCTGCTTTTCCTGGACTGGGATCCCTGAGGGAAGGAGGTGCTGGATCCATGGATTTGGCATCTCCCAGCTGGAATTGTGGGATGGGAAGGGGCATTCCTGCTTTTCCTGGATGGGAAATCCCTGAGGGAAGGAAGGGAAAGAGGGCAGGGAAGGGTCGGAATGAGGGATAGGCTGGAATTCCCAGCTGGAATTGTGGGATGGGAAGGGGCATTCCTGCTTTTCCTGGACTGGGATCCCTGAGGGAAGGAGGGAAAGAGGGCAGGGAAGGATTGGAACGAGGGATTGGCCGGAATTCCCAGCTGGAATTGCCCCTCCTGGCCGTTCTTTCGGCGGCTCTGGAATCCCCCTGGATTTGAACCTCCCCCCTGGGGTCGCTCCAGGTGGGAATTCCTCATTCCAGGGGCGTTCCCACCTCCACAGGGTCCTTTGCCAGCACGCTGCCCACCTACCAGCAGTCGGAGGTGATGGTGTTCATCATGAACAAGGTGCCTCTTCCCTGCTCCCAGCATTCCATGGAGCCGGGAAAAGACGGGTGAGGGATGGATCCCGACCTTTCCCGACCCCCTTCCCTGCTCCCAGAATTCCTTCCCTTGGATTTGAGCGGCTTTGGAGGGTGGATTGGAAATTGGGAAAATGGTTCCGGATTCTCGATCGGTTGGAGGGAACGGGATTCCCTCGGGGTTTGGGAAGGGTTATTCCCGTTGGTTTGCCTTTGGATTCAGCCCATTCCTGCCTGGAAAACTCTGATCTGCTCCCTCTGCTCCCATTCCTGCTTTTTAATCCTGGAGAGTTCCCAAATCCCTGGAAATTGCTCCCAGATTTTATAAGATCCCGTTGGAATTTGGAGCCTTCAGCGCCCCTGGAATTCCTGCTGTGTTTGGGAATCCCTGGCAGGAATCCAAACCCTTTTTCCCTGGAATCCCCTGGATCAATTCCCACCATTCCCTGAGATCCATGAAACTCCTTGGATCATTTTTCCCATGGAAAGGTCTTGTTTAGTTGTGGAGAAGAGGATTCCCTCGGGATTTGGGAAGGGTCATTCCCGTTGTTTTCCCTTTGGATTCAGCCCAGCCCTCCCTGGAAAACTCTGATCTGCTCCCATTCCTGCTTTTTATTCCCATAAAATTCCCAAAATGCCTGTTTAGGGATTCCCAGGATGCCTAAAATCCCCCCTGGCAGGAAATCCATGGATTTGTCTCTGTCCCTGCAGGGAGAACCGGAACCGCCTGACCCAGATCATGCTCCTCAAATCCCTGCTCCAGGTAGGAATTCCATGGGAAAAATCCCTCAGGAACTGCTCCAGGTAGGGATTCCATGGGAAAAATCCCTCAGGAACTGCTCCAGGTAGGAATTCCATGGGATAAATCCCTCAGGAACTGCTCCAGGTAGGGATTCTGTGGGATAAATCCCTCAGGAACTGCTCCAGGTAGGAATTC